TTTCTATTGCTTGCTTTTGCTCTATATACGAAGTATATCGGTAAAAATATTATACAATATAACGGGTATTGCGRGTATAATAGCATGTTTTTTGGCAGATGATTCGTGAGTCGTGTCAAGCTCTCTTTCACTTTTGTTCAGGTTTATTTCGCATTTCGTCATGGAAAGACTTACGCCTGGGCAACGTTTTCAAATCGTTCAACTTTATTACGAAAACTAAMGTTCTGTWAAGAATGTCTTTCGCGCACTTCGCTCCACTTATGGTCAACATAATTGGCCTACTGAGAGCGCTATTCGCAACACCATCACATATTTTGAGACCCAGCATTCAGTATTGGATAAAATTCAAGCGAATAGACCACATTCAGTCGCAGTGAAGAAAATATAGCAAACGTAGCTGCGAGTGTACACGAAGACCGTGAAGAGTCGATTCAGCGACGTTCGCAGCAACTCGGACTGACGTATGGAACGTCTTGACGCATTTAACGTCGAAATCATAAATTGAAAGTGTACGAAATACAACTTGTGCAAGCTCGATCTTCACACGACATCGCATCGCTCTATTATGGCCGTGAAAAAACATAGCCGCGGCCAACATTTGATGGATATAATCTTAAAAAAATAAATGCCAAAGAATTTTCTTTCGAATGATAATAAACATTCCACATTTAACTGGAAGTTTCTGATGCAAAAGTTAGAGCAATGGCAGCTGAAAGGAAACGATTTGTGGTCTGAACTAAAAGTTACTAATAACATTTTCTGTAAAAGGCAAGTTTCTTATCCGATTTCGATTTTATGGCAGCATATCAGGGAGAGACCTTAACAATAAGTATACATTTGAAAAACTATAGATCGAAAATTACATCCATAGCATTTTAATGACACGTGATTATGACACGTTAAGCTCTCCAAATGTTGAGCTGATAATCTCTATTATTATTAAAGAGTATCGATATCGGCTCTCCACATCTCTCGTTCAGAGCAAAGTCTTCTCAGAGAGCAAAAAATAAGAGAGTAAGAAATATCTTWAAAAAATCTACGCTAGGTCACACATTTCTCTTGCCCTTCGCGGCCATTAGACATTGCATATCGCCGTTTACCATAGGCAATTGAAAAACTGTACAAAAACGTTTTTTAATAACTTTAATGCAAGTCACCTTCATTACAAAATCATTTTCACATCTTCATTACATTTCATTGTACAACAACACCAAACACAAAGGCGTCATCAGTAACCTCCGTGGTCAATGCTCCAACGATGACATTGAGTTAATTGACAAAAACGACTGCAAATGCCATGAAAATGAAAAGTCTTCAACAAAAAGTCACATTTTCTTCTCTTGCATGCAATCAATATTTAATTATAAATTCTGAAGTCACCACAACAAATTACCGAACCGGTGAATTCGCAATAAACACCTAAGTTTATATACAAAAGTCACCATTACGAACACTTAATATGCGCATCATAAATGCTAAAAGGCACGACTAAATTATTATTAGTAAACGGCAATGAAAACCACCCACTACAACAAAAACAAATGCAATAAATTTATTTTTCTATTTCTATTCTATTTATTCACATTCGATTTTAGCTCAGGTGCTGCTTCTTGTAAATGAAATGGTTTGAAAGGCATTGGTGTTCATATGTGGTATGTAGTATATATATATTTGAGCACGTCGAAACATTTTTATAACCCCTAAAAGATTAATTTCGCCTTAAGGAAGTKTTTCGATTTTTTTGTTATYGTTTTTTCATTTCACGTTGATCCRAGTAACAGTTTCRGAGACACAGCCTAGGCTAAGTGCGTCGTCTTTAAACAGGCAGKATTTCTCGAGAACTACCCAACCGATCATCATGAAATTATTATAATTCTATTATAATTCTGATTAATGTAGTATCTACAAGGCTCCTATACGAGGAATGCCTTCCTAACACCAACAAGCTTGACAACTCAGGTTGATTAACGCAATGTTGCTGACGGGCTATGTTGGTTCTACCCTCAACCCACTTTGACAGCTGCCAACAGGATGTGCAGGAGTTACGTAACCCAATTACAGCGTGCTACCTGTTTGTAATATCAAATTTTGTCAACTATCGTGTTGATAAGGAGAAAGTGAACAGCAAATGGCGCCTACATGCGCATTACGTTTCGCCACCAACCAGATTGAGGCAAAAACAACGAAACGCTGCCGAAAATTTGCAAAATGCATTCGTACATACTAAGCAGTTGCAGGCGATCGACAACACGAAATGCGAAGCAGAAATCTATACTTTTCGAAAAACATGAAAAACAGCCAACAAAGCAACAACACATTAATAGCATATGCTTCGATAATAGCAATTTCGGCAAAATCAGATGGAAACAGTTATTCGGCAAAAACAACAAGCATAGAAATCGCAAGGCGAGTGTGCAACGTGTGGCAATTAATTGGTTTACAATCGGGCCGCGTCGCGTCGCCGTGTCTTACATAAGCGCCGAGTGTGATTTCTGCATAATAATGAAGCAATAGCCGGCTATAGCATTTTAAGCGTGTCGCAAAACATCCCGGCAGATAAACGAACAACCAGATAAATTATAGCCACACACACAACCCCACTCATAAAGCAGGAGTGGATTAACAGCAGTTGCCGACAATACTGCAGCAATTTTTCAAATGCAACACACACACAAGTGCAACAACAACATGCCAGAGATAATCTTTTGATACTGGAATTGCCTTGTTGGCTTTGTGAGGCGCGCATCTTCGCTCAGCATGAAACAAAGGCCTCCGATTTATTCGGATTTTATTGCTCGTTAAATGCAAACTAATCGGTTATAATTGCAAAAAGTGCCCAGACGATTAATTAACATTGTACGATGATGCAATTGCGCATGTTACAACAAYAACAACCGTTATAAGCGGCCACCTAATGGTGTGTTACAAATTATTTGGCCGTTCTTTCGTCGATCAAGTGGCATGCGCACACATGCAAATGTATAAATGTGTGTGTGTGTGTGCATTGGTAAGTTAGGTAATTAGACAGATTTTTCAAAATTTTGTCGAATCGCTTCAATTTATAGTAGGTATACTCAAACGCGGAATCAATTCTCCGACAAACATATACATGTCTTTTGAAAGTTAGATCTAACTAACTAACACATGCATACAGCTGTGGTGGCACCCGTCATACTTGACCAAGGTTTAGTTCGGATTAAAGTTCCCCGCTGACATGGGGCTTAGGCATGCAAGGTTTCCTCCGCGTAAAACAAAACGCTCTAGAGGCACATCTGTTAAAAAAGGACATCATATTTTAGAAAGGGTTCTGTGCAGCGCTGAAACTAAAGGGAACCGTATCGGATCGGATGGAAAAATATTTGTCTATCGTAATAGGTGTCAGGCGTATAACTGCAGATACACTATAAAAACTTTAGCACGGCGGAGGTTGCGTAATGGTCTGGGGAGCGTTTTCCTTGGTACAGCGTGGACCATTGGTAATGATAGATGGCAGAATGGACCAATTTACCTAAATATTCTCAAAAATACCATAGAACCATTCCCGTTCGAATCGATGCCAGTTAATTGGATTTGGMATGGTACTCAATTCCACAAAGGCGGGGACAGATATTAGKGGAGAGCTTGACCCGACAATGCCAAGCAGTTTTAAAAAATTTTGGGCACACAGCAAAATAATAACGCTGTAAGTGCTTAAACTCTAAAGCCCTTATTACAAAGATATCTAATAAATTTATTTAATTTCCGCAGAACCGGCCAACCGTGCCATTTCTATGTCCAGACCTAARCACGGAATGAGAAACTCAATACATTTTTTTTTTTTTTAAGAACTATTAATGATGATGAAGATGATTTAGTCCAAACATAACTATTTGCTATCGTTTTAAATAATAGATATATAAATTCCATACAACGGAAAAAGAATAATACAAAAAATAGAGTTGAGAAAATTAAAAATTTTCAGGCCGAAGTTAAATTTGAATTTTTTGTTCCTTCAGGTATGGTTAGGTTCGCGATCAAGTCCTGCCTAAAAGTCGAATACTCAACACTATTGGTTTCCAAAATCAACAAATGCCTACGAATAGGGTCAAAGTGGAATCTATCATTTCTTACACATATGGATTTAATAGGTTTTATTTGTTCCAAAATAATTGTTGACATCATCTAAATGGGTAATTAAATGTGAAAGATTCAAGAAATTCTTAGATAAAGCTTATGCTATATATAGTTTTTATCACATTTTTTTAAAAGCCAGCTGAAAGTGTTTTCAGGAGTAGATCTAAGAAAATTCCCTGGCGTCAAATAACCAATCTGAAATTTCAATGAAACTTATATTTTCTTAAAGAGTAGCCTATTTTGAAACTCTGCTAATTAAGTTCCCCTGTGCCATCTCAAAATGCAACCAGTCATCGAGTTTAGGGGACTCACCTGGTAGTAGCAAAAGTCAGACCAAAGATTTAAACCTAGTACCTCCAATCTGCTCATTGATTTTGGCCCTTTGTGGAKATWCGTGGTGGCTGTGSTTTGAACCTAAATGCATGCAATGATGTTGAAAAATTTCAGTCCAATGTGGAGTCACATTGCGGCCGGGTGCCGGACCCAAAGTACGACAGAGGTTTCAGATGGGCCTCGAACACGACCAAGCTGACTAGGGTGTCCCTATCCACCCGAACCAATTGGAACCAAAAATTAAATGCAAAATGCATTTATGTCTTGGGGCGCTGATCAACGCATTGTATTGATCTACTTGCTTCTAGCAATAGAAAGCACCGTGAGGTTAGGCCTTCGCTGGCAGGTACTCACGTAAATCACAACAACATTCTGTGCCATATCAGCACTAACAGTTGCTGTCACTTTCTTTCAAAAATCTTACTTCTTCAGCAATTTATACCCACATTATTTACATATGCATGTATGTATGTTTCTTTMATTTTTGTTTTATGTACATACATATGTAACGGCATTTGTTCGCCAATATTTACTAATAGCAAATGTCAACTCACCTTAGTTAAAAACAAAGCCGCCAAGTGTCAGCAACCAAATGAAGATAAATCTGGCTTTGTTGTTGTTTTTGTTTTACTTTTTTCGTTTTTGTTTAGTTGGCTATAGATTTGATGAATCGYATTTATTTCGCATGCAAAATATTTTCGTTAATGTTTTCACACTGATGAATATTTATTTTTTAGTAAAGAGATTAAATCATTTAGTCGCTAGTAAATTTAAATAAAAAATTTTATTAAAGAAATTGTGTGAAATTGCAAGCTTTCGAGCAGCTCACAGTGTTAATGTTTGATTCAACGATTTTATTTGGATTGTTGTTGCTATTGTTTGTACTTTTGCCAAGTCGTCTTTGTGCTAATTTCCGATATTAATTTGCATTTGTTTCAAGCGACGCCGAAATAAAGTCGTATGCAAAGTACCGTTAAATGGCTAATATATGCACGTTCGCTCAGACTCAGCTGTATGTATGTAAATATGCGCGCGTGTGTATGCGTGTGTGGGCAAAACAAAACTAAAAGCCAAAAATCCGAAACTCGCGCTGCTTGCTGATTGTTTTTGTTGTGTTTCTGGTTCGTTGATCTCGTTTTGATTATTTTTATTTAAACTATCTATGGCGCTTTTACATTTGTTTGAGTTGTTGTTGGACTTCGCGGCGAAATGCTTGCAGTTTTTGGCGAATATCTGGGAAATTGGCACGAARTCGGAATTTCAGAAACTGTAAATTGCAAAAAAACTGCGCCGACGAGTAGGACGAGCGCAGAATTTTAGTGAGTTTTATCGGAAAACACACACATKCATGCACACATGTGTGTATTTTGGAAATGCAACAGGGACACAGTTACAATTTCGAGCGGAAAGTTACACTTTTGCTTTTACTTCGGCGTTTGTTGTTGTAATAATTATTTGGAGTGCCGCGGCAGCACTAGTTCCACGGTCGTTAAATTTAAGTGATTTGTTATTTTTATTTTTCACTCAGCCCTGAATATCGCTTACGCTACAAGTTCTTGCAGTCGGGTSTRTATTTTTTKGTTTTTGTTTTTGTTGTTTTTGGTTCAAATGCCGCTTTTACCGGTTTTACGGCCACCGTTCAATTTCGCTGGCCAAGTGTGCTACACTGTTGTTGCTTTGTTGTTGTTGCTAAGTTGCATCGTCACTTGTAAATCGAATTTCACTGGCGCCATAAGCGAGCTGCCCGCTGCACTTTGCCTGTGTGTCGCACTTTTTTCCTGTCGCGAGCGTTAATTGTTGCATGCAGAGGCGTGTATGTGTGTGTAGGTGCGCAACTTGCAATGCCAATTGGGTCTCAATGTCTCACTAGATGAATATTTGTAGTCACTGTCACTAAGGGCTCACTGGTGCACCCAGAACACAGAACACACGCAATAGCTCCAACGGTGTATGCACTTGTATGCGTATGTGTGTGTGCGTGTTCGCAAAATATTATATTTCAAAACGTACAGACTTCAAGCTTAGCTGCAAAGTTTTGGAAGAAATCCGCACAAAACTGACAAAAACTCACTTAAGGTTTCTACGCGTCTGCACACATACACACACACATAAACTTATGCGAAGGAATACGTACGTACATATATACTAATTGAACTCTTTCGTTTGCTTCGCCGTTTATTGCATTTATGACTTATGTTAAAGAAACTGTTTAAGACTCGTTTTCACGCGCGGCAACTCGTCTCGAGTGGAGCACCCTTCTATGTCGCTATCGAAAYCTCTACTGAAACTGGTGTTGCCACACATAGCTGGCATTGAGCTCACTTTGCCACTGCCGTTTGGCTGTTTGCGTGAAGTCWCGTTGTTGCTGCTGTTGTTGTCTTAGCCACCATGCCAACTGGTTTCGGGCCAAAACGCATACGCATTGAGCGCACTGAGCGCACCTTGAGCTTTGCCGCTCTTGAGCACTTCCGTGGAGTTCGCTCCAAKTGACGGGTGCTCGGCGTGGCGACAGATTTTTTYATGGCTATTCAGTTTCTAGCAGCGACGCTACTCACCACCATAGCTGCTGAGTTGTGGTGAGTATGTGTTGGCCAACTTCAAAGTGCCTAAATGGTTGCTTGGGAGCAGACGAAGGACTTTTATGGCAAATTCAAACGAAGTTTAGAGATCAGCATATTTTTTACAAACGGATAGGTGAATCAAAGAAATATTGTGAATAATTTTTTATGAAATTGTAAAATTTCAGATACATATGTCCATCTAATATGTAGTTCTTGCCAACATTTCCTCTTCGATAAGTTGGTAACAGTTTATCGTACAAAATCACTACTTAAGTTGTAAAAGCGGCCTCTACGGATAAGTATTATATATGTACATCTACGTCTGCACATTATGACAAACGCACTTCTTAACAAGTGGGAACATAATGCTAATATATCTGCTTATAACACACATTCAAATAATTTTCATCAAACATGGGCCTACAAACACAAAAGGCAAACCGTGAAAAATGTSTTCCCCATGCGATTTCGCGTAATTCTTCGATTAGCTTGCCAATCAGAAAGGGCAAAGTACCCTCCTTCGACCATATAAAGAAACTCTYGTTCCCCCTCGTTGGGTGCATGTCTGCGGCCGTGCAAAGGCACCTGCACCTGTTACACCAGCCGACGAAGCGGCCGGCTCAGGCAGGTGAGCGAGATTATTGTATGGAAGGCCAGACGGAAGGAAGAAGCGCATAATATGACAGCAATGCTTTGCGTGCTCCTTTGGGCATTATGTGCGTCGGTTTGTGTGTGTGCTTGTAGCATGCGGGTTACCTAGGTACGGATCTACCTCCAAACAATATCTCCACTTGGCAAACATTACACTTTTTGATCTGACCATTCGTTGGGCATACACTTGCGGAGCAGCGGAGCGAAATCCTATTTCCCTGGTGGACGATCATCATCATTATCACCAATAGACAGACATTCGGCCACGTAGGCAAACAGACAGCCAGCCAGAGAGATCAGTTGCAGCCACGTCCGTTTGCTTTAGGAGAGGGCAAACCCTGGTGCATGCACATATACTTATTTCTATCGCGAAATTATTGAACTCGCATTAGGGATGTTCTTATTATGGTAACTCAGAGGGAACACACTTCAATTTATGTCTTTTTCGATGTTGAAAGATATACAGGTCTTCTCCGGAAATTAATAGGACTGAGTCAGTTTAAAAAAATTTATTGGACCACGCATTGAAGGCGTCACGGAAGGCATTCTCCGGAATAGCCTTGAGGATCGAGGTGCATGCTACTTGGATTCCCTCTGACGTCTCAAAATGCTTGCCTTTCATCGACCTCTTCAGGCAAGGAAATAAAAAAGGTCCAGGGGGCCCACATCAGGGCTGTATGGCAGCTGCGGAAGCGTTGGCATGCCGGTCTTGGTTAGGTAACTGTTCACAAGAAAGGCGGTGTAAGCCGCGGCGTTGTGGTGGTTAAACTTTCAATCGTCTGTGATGTCTTGTAAAACTCGGCGTTGACGGTTTATCCAAGAGGTACAAATTCATGGTGGATGAGGCCTTTGATGTTAAAAAAGACAATGAATATCGTTTTCACTTTGGGTTTGCTCATTCATCAGCGACCTCTTCTGGGCCTTCAAAAAGTCCTGGACCCCTTCTTGCTAAGCAACATCTAAGTAAGCCTGCTTTATCATATCAGACTCCGAAGTACAGTCGCAGCAAAAGAAAATCAGTCCTATTACTTTCCAGACAAACCCTGTAGTAGGTCCAACCAAACTCGATTAAAATGAGAAAAGAATTAAGTCTTCTATTTGTTTCCGACAATGGGTCCGAAGCTTTGGCTTTTATTAAAAATATAGAATTACAAAGGTTCCTTATCATCAAAAACCGTCAATTRATGAGCCCACACTTTCTACCACTAGAACTATCTAAACTAAGTGTGGAACTCCAAAAATGTTMACTTGAAAAACGACCCACCTTAGTACAACAGAGAATCTTATTTTATTTTATTTTATTTGATTTTTTTTTTTTTTGTGATTTGCGTGCAATATGTAGTTATTGTCCGTGTGGTGGTGAGTTTTATTTTGTCATCATCGTCGTCCAGCCAAAGAAGTGTATTCCAGAAGTGATGATACTCGGTTACTTGACTAACCGGCAATGCAGGCGATATACCCATTATGCACCAAAATAGGCAAAAGGGAAGACAAATACGTATCCTAGATCCCGGTAGGAAACCGCACGTCTGCCTGGTATAATAGCACAAGCTCAAATCAAAGATTCCAACTGTATTTAAATAACTACGAAATCCCCCAAGTCGTATATAAATTAATATAAATGATGCTGCAGAAATACATAACCGCTGCGGTGTAGAAAAGCATGCCAACACATTTCGATTTGCATTCCGAGTGGCCTCATTCTGCTCCTGTACTCGAGCCTCTTTGGAGTGTTTATCATGTTCTAAGCCTACTTTTTGGTTTCCATTGCAAGCGTGTAGTTCTTCGAACCAAAGGCTGGGGTCCTTAGCCGCCGTGGCGAGCAGCGTTGTTGTTGCTGTTGTTGTATTTGTCGTAGATGGTGTTGCTGTTGATATTGTTCCTTCTACAGGTTCTCCGCTTGGTTGACTTTTATTGTGTCGCTTCTCTTATTCTAAATTCGTACGAATGCTACAACATTTCAATGCCAAAACCGGTGTTGTCTGCGCAAAAAAAGAGCGCTCCTCAGGCCGCTTGTTGTTTTCATTAACATGAACTAACCATTCCTTAGTTGATACTAGTCATCACTGTGGCAGCTTTTTATKCCACTACATTGTTGTTGTTTTTCTTTTTGTTATTGCGTTGCTGTTCTTCAATTATACATGTGTGCTGGAGCTGGTCGCCTAAGCAGCTGCCGCAGTCTCTGTCATCAAATGGGTTTACACAAGCACCAGCAACAACAGCAACAAGCATGATATTCAACCTACATGATACAGTGCACCATAAAGTAAGCACATACATGCCCACTAACATATGTGTGTGTGTGTGTGTGAACGTTTGTGCTTGCATTTGTATGCTTATGTTCCAGAGTTATTAGTAAGATTGGAGTGCTCGCCATTGGTTCCACTTCACATCTCCGCGCTTCCACAGCCGTCCATCGATTCGCCGCAAATCTGTCTTTGCGTGGCTGCTTCGAAAATATACTTCAGCTGCGTTTGGCGGCAGTCTTTAGTAATTATGTATACAACTTTTTTGTAAAAACAATATTCAAAAATCGTGTTTTAAAATTTTCAATCAGAATGGACGCGCTCAAGTTTTTTCATCATTTTTAAAAGTTGTAAGGCAAATTTTGAATATATTCCTGTAGGTTTCATATGTATGTGCATGCTTGTATGTACTTAGAAATAAATCCAGCACAAATTATTATACAATAACAACAATTTAAATTCAATTAATCTGACGTCATAAATTAACTCAAAAGAACGACTACAGCCTCTAATCGAAAATATTTTTAAAAAATTCTAAAAATTTTATCAAAACCAAATTGTGATTCAAAGTTGCTAATTTTAATAACTGTAAACAATTGAATACACATTAAACTCTTGCGCTTGAAAATCAGTCAAATAAATTGTGTGCAAAACTCCCTCATAAAGCAGCACTCGCAAAGCCCTATAGAAATGTACAAAACTAGCAGAGCGCGCAGAGAGCTGCAGAGCGTGCTGCGTCAGAAATTGCAGAAAAATGTACTCATACTTTATATTTAAAAAGCCGGTTTTTCTGCAATTCCTGCATTTGTTTACTTATTTAATTGTCTTCTTTCTTTCGGCGTTTTGCCTCCTTGTTATGGGGCCTCTCTTGCAGTTGTTTTATATTTTTCTCACTCGAAACGCGCTCACAAATCACTCAATGTCAGCGTTGTCGCTCATTGTGCTCCAAATTCGCTGAACTGTTATACGTGGTGAGTTGACATATCCGTACACATATTGGTGTGGTGGTGAGACGCGTAATTTTGGAAAAGATTTCATATTTTTAAATTGTCTGCTGCTTTTTTTAATAGTAGGATAGCATAAGCATAGAAAGCCGGAGGGTGAAACTTAATCTGTCGAATAGTACGAGCTAGGGTCATGATGGAACGGAACAGATAGCTTCAGCTGCGCATCGCAATTGTCACTAAAGACCGCCATATGCTTACAAATGTGTTTATATGTAAACCTTTCAATACACCAACAAAAATTAATTCTAAAGAACCTTCTCCCAAGTAAGAAATTCGGAGAGCTTTTGATGTAGGAAACCATTTTTCTACTGTCAAAAGAGAAATTGCGGTAAAGCTTTGCCAATTTTTAAGAGCCTCATGATCCAGAATAGGTATACGGTTATTAGCTACCACAGCAGACTGGTGTTGACTAAGTGAGATCTCTGTTAGTATCGTCCGCTTAACCCAATCTAACCTCCTTGGCCTGGAGAACTATTATCTCCGCACATTTCTATCATCTGTTTGTTTTTGTTTTGCGTTGGCCCTTTCTGCAGTTTTTCCCGAATTTCATCCACTTTAAAATTAACCGTAATGTTCTGCTCCCATTCTGATCGCTTTCCTAACACATTGCAACATAAACACATGCACATTTTTAACTAACTCCCAACTTACCAACTTTTTCTTCTCCCACTAATAAAACAATACTTAACTCGCCTACAATTCTTTCTACCGCTTTCCATAACCTTTCATCACAACGATTTTTTTGATTTGTTAATTTGTTGAATATTAAAGTTGTTAATGGCAATTTTCAGCATT